TGAATTAATTAATAAATAATTACTAATAAATTAATTTCTGACTAATAATTTTGCCGTTTACTTATCTAGAACAGCTGTAAATTAAACTTTACCACATGAGCTATAACACCTCTTCATTTAAGCACACTGAAATAGTATAGTAGTAACATTGCCAGCCTCTTTCTGGTCATCATTTTTGCTTCTCTCCTCCTCTTTTCAATGTGTTACCTGGTGTCAGTGTACTTTATGGATACAGTAATTGTTTTCCTATAATGGTCTCCGCCTTCTAACCCTCTTTTGTGTCTGGGTTAGTTTAGCCCAGAGAAGAGAAGAAAGACCTAGAAATTGCCAGCTACTTGACCCATCTTGGCCTCCAAAGCATTGAAAGTCTGTGTCATGTTGTGTCAAATCAATTTCTGGCAAAGTTAAAAAGATCATTTTGACCATCTTGACCAGATCTTTCCATTTTTCTTATGATTTTATTGTTTTGACATTCTATGAACTTGTCTAGCAGAATTTCTTTTTTCTTTCTTTCTCTCTTTGCTTTGTTACAAACCTCTGCTTCATCTTTCATGTCAAAATTAGGATAGAAAAATTGTTTTTTATTAATTCTAAGGTTAATAGTTAATTTCTTCAGTAGATGTCTATATATTTCAAAATGTGTACAAAACAAATTTCTGCTGTGGCAGCTTTCCTGCTAAGTACCATTTATTTATTTATTTTTTATTACTCTTCATCCAAGAGCCACTCAAGGTAGAGGGCTACTATATGGAGTTGTATTAGCATAAGAAAATGCAAGATAACAGGAAAGATAGCTAATTCTAGACTTGAAGAGGTCAAGATTTAATAAGCCAATAAAATTTCAGAGTTCAGGTAGATACGTTAGAAGGAACTGGAAACCCAATCCTAAACAGGAAACAAGGTATGAAATTTTACTCCTGATCAAATGACTAGGGAGGAATGTGAACCAGATGATAGGGAAACCTATCTACTCTTACTAGGAGAGGAAAAAAATAAGAATAATTACTGAATAAAATTTAAGATTTTAGGCAGAGACGTCAGAAATACAGAGTTAAAAGAACTGGAAATCCAATCCTAAACAGGAAACTAGGAATGAACTTTTACTCCTGTTCAAAAAATCAGGGAGGAGTATGAACTGGATGATAGATGAGCCTATCTAGTCATTTTTAAACTTGTCTAGATTTTGTCTTTTTTTTTTCCTGCATCAAATTCTACATGATGAAATATATTCACCTCCTTAATATTTAGGTTTACTTTGAAATGGATTGACATTTATAAATTTTAAATAAAATAAAACTGTTTAAAAATTGTTCAAAATTATAATTGAAATTCATGAACATTTATCAGAGAAAAAGAATGGTTTCTTGAAATTACATATTTTCCTTCATGCATTATTTCTTAATTTAAAAGAAATCTTGAATTATTTTAGACTAAATATTGTTATTATTATTCATTGATTCTTTTGAACAAGTTTCCTCATCTTAATTGTCTTTGTCATTATGGTTGGCTTTTATTGTCTTTATCACTATGTTGACCTTTCTTGGGTGTCGATAGGATTTAGTAAACTTCAGAGAATAGTGAAGAGAATGATTTTGTCCGGTGAGGGTTGTTTTCATTTTTATACTGTCTTACATCCTAGGAAGTTTCAGAACTTGTAAGCCTGACTTTTTATGATACTAAACTGTCTCTCCACTGAGCTAGTGTAAATCACCCAAGGATTGAAATAAATGAGTCTTATCAAGTCATTTATAATACTACTCTAATTAAACACTGTATCTCAGCCAAGAATTGAACCAGATGAATTTTACCAGCACTTTTATGTTACTGATCTATCTTTCCACTGGGCTAGGTTAGATTATCCGGAGACTGAACTAGATGAGTACAATCAACACTTTTATCCCCTTTGACTTGTAGCAAATCACTGCTCATGTTTTATTTTTATCTTTAAGCTTTAATGTCTCAAATTTCATAATTTGAAGCCACCATATGCTAAGTCTACTGATAGGATATTTGGAAATATGTTAAAATCAATGAAGAGAAAACTTGAAAAACATCAATGTATAATCACTTTTAAGATGCTCTCTGTAATGACAAAAGTACACAGGTGTAGGCTTTAAGAAAGCTTTATTCAACTGAGAATACAGGATTTGTGTATAGTGTCCTTTTATAGTCCCAGTAAACAGAAATAGCTCTTTCAAAGAGGTGAGTAACAAAACAAGGGGAGACCACTCTTGATTATTCATAACACTCTCTGGTTTTAGTTTGTTAGAATTTCATTTAATGCATTAATAGCTTAGAGAGATTTTGAATAAAGAAGAATGTGACTATATAATTAAATTTGAATTATACCTGCTTCTGTGGACAAATCAGTAAGGCATCATCCTGTAGAGTAATTGGCCATGGTTAAATGTAATTGGCAGAAATGTCCAACAAACATAATTGACAAAGTTTACATTAAGCAATAACAAGAGAAAGAAAAGAAAAGAACAAGGCAAAACTGATATTAAGCAAGTGAGCAATATATGTAAGGCAAATCAACAGTAACATGGCAAAAATTTACAAACTAAGAATGGTGTTAAAACACAAAAGGGGATACAGACAAGCAATCACAGCATTCTGGATTCAAGACAAGAAAAAACAGAACTGAGATTTTATATATTTTATTGGTTAGGAAAAGATCCTACCAGGCATCTGTGTGTTCTTGTTGTATAGCCTCTTCTTCTGGAGGTTCTCTTGGGTGATGGTGTCAATTAATACACTGTTGTATATCTTCACTCTTTTCTCTCAGTCAGGTGATTGCTAGTTGGATTTTAGTTTGGAGATAAAAGAAGAGAACTTCAACAAAAGTGATTTTAAATCTTACTAGTTTATTAAACATGTCAATGTGTACATTTCTAACTAGTCATTTCTGAGACCCCAAAAAAACATTTCTACATAGTAAAACTTAACTCACTGAAATCCCTTTCAATCTCTAACATTTCCACACTAGTTTTAGCCAAGCAAAAACAACTTCCTTTGTTTTCCTGTATCTGAGATAGGAACTAGAACAATCTATCCTGGTGGATGAAATAAAGTGTTTGGTTTGAACTTCCAATCACCTGAAGAAGGCCAGAGCTTACAACAGCCATGTTGTGAATATAGCAATGTTTATTCAGATAACAGTCTGATTAATATAAAAAATGTAAACAATCATAATATCTCATCTCGGAGATATAGACAGTTATTTTATGTATAAAAAATTTAGCCTTATATTCTTATCAGATATTATTAACATTACATGACTATTTAGCTTAAAAAAGTAAACTATTTTAAAGAAATTTAACTTTTAGCACACTACATTATTAATATTACTTCTCTTTCCTCTGCATTATTTTTCAAGGCTTCTCAGTTGTGATATCCTTACTGTTAATTTCACTCAAAGTTGTTTTCTGTTTCTACATCAGGTTATGACAACACAATTATAAAATTCAAACACATTATTGTTCAGTGATCAGTCACCTTCAGTAGCAGGATATGCTTTTTGTATAAGACATATACAGAGTGATAAAGGTTAAAATATTTAGACCCCTACATTTTTGATTTCATTCAAGATATCTTTAAAATGATTTCAATAAGTGTTAGACAAAATGTTATCTAATATTCTGAGATAAGTACTTGCAGGAGAGCAACTTGGGGAGCAAGTTTCAAAATACAACAGAGAACACATTTACATTGTTTGACAGTTAAGACTTGACTCCCTGAAAAATCTTTTTCTATCTATCATTCCCATGCTAGGCAATCAAAATCAACTTCCTTTGTTTTGTCCTGTATCTGACCCCAAAGGTCAAACTGAGGACGTCAGAGCAGAAATACTTTTCTCTAAAAAACAATAGTCTATTGTTTAACATAAGCATAGTTCTGCACTAACTCAACGATTAAATAAACTCTGGGTATCAGCTGAGGTTGACCACTACTTTTATTCAAAAATTTTAATATGATGTCCAAGAGAAATAAATCATCATGCAGATAATTCAGATTTTAGTCTTTTAGACCTTGCTAAAAATGTGTTACTATGATTAAGTTACCCTTTTGGAGTACAGTATGTTAGGAACTAACATCTTTGCTAGCTGAGCTACTGCAGCTCCCAATCCCTGCAATAAGGACCTTGTGTTATATGGGAATTGATCTGTGTTTTCCTCCTTCAAGCAAGGGAGTTTAGAGCTATTTATCTAAGTAGAAAAGCTGATGAGTCCTGGCCTAATTCACCATTGCATATGACCTGCTGGCAGAGATAACCCAATCAGCCTGTTTGGTCTAACCTACATTGACTCTAAATGGATCTGCATTGACAAGGATTTGACCTTTTTTGACCGTCAGCTACTGTAACTAGGTGACTAGTTGAATAATACAAGTGGAGGCAGAAGCAGCAGCAGCAGCAGCTCCTTATCTGCATTGATGTGTTTGGCATATTTTTTTATCATAGTAGATGTGACTTATATAAACATTAGTGATTGCTTACATACATGTATGTGTTGGTATACTTACACACACACACACACACACACACACACACACACTTCTCTGTTCTTATATAAGTGTAAATATAAACTAAATAATGAGATAACTGTATATGTGTGTGAGAGTGCATACGCAGATAAGCAAATAAATATCTATTTAATTTCTGGTGTAAACAAAACAGTGCTGAATGTAGTTAAATAGAGCTATGTATAGGTATATGTGCATTTATTATATATATATATATATATATATATACACACACACACATATGAGATAAGTAAAAAATTATCTGCACTTTCACCATAACATATCTGTATATAAGAATGCAGATAATTTTTGACTTTCCCTTGTATATATAACTAATAAAGCATTTATTTACAAAATGAAAACTTTAAAATATGTTACTTTTTATATACTCTGAAATTCTCATATATATAAATAATGTGTGTGTATGTATTTAAGCAATACTGACAAGATCTGTCTGTTCAATTTTTTATTAGGCTTATGTCCATATCATGTTGAGACACAAGTTCTCATATAATCACAGAAGTTAAGCAACGTTGAGCCTGATCAGTACTTACATGGGTGGCTGCTTGGGAATACCAGGTGCTCTAAGCTTGGTTGTGTTAGGTAATCAATCAAAATTAACTGGTCTGCATTAGAATAAATTTTTTTTAACATTCATTAGGCCTTTCTTTACCAACAACATTTTTCAGAATAAAAAAATATTGATTTATTTTATAATTTTAGAAGTAGGAGTCTTGTTCATAATATAACTACAGTCTCAGTTTGATTCCTGATTTCTTAAAGAGTTATCTGTAATTTGTTTTATTTACAAATGTCAAGTTTGAAGCTTTACTTATGTCATTGCTAACTGTATACTACTGATGATGTCCTTTTGTTCTCAATTCATAATATGAACTTTTAAACTGATTTTGCTAACCAGATGCTTCCTCTGTAGCTAAATGGTATAGCACGTAAGGCCAAATGATGGTTCTGTGTAGGATACAGGTTCGATTCTTATTGAAAGACATATTTTCTATGAAATTTCTCAGATATTCAGGCTGGTAAATGTAGTTAATACTGTCTATTATAAACAGAGCATTTACTTAAATATTTGTATCTATAAAAATAATGTATAAACAGAATATATAATTGGTTAATTTAAATCATCCCCTAGCCTGTTTTTAAACTTTAAATTTTGTTTTACCCTTTCTCTTCTTGAAGGGGTACTGTTTTTTTCAACTTTTAAAAAAATTCTTTTAATTTCCAGTAAATCACCATCGCCTGATGAACATGCACTTATAGTGCTGAAACATGATTGCATTTGAGTAGTGATTATATAACATGTTTTCGTTATTATTTCAAATAAATATTTATAAGTAATTAATGTTGTGATGTCTATCGTGGCTGAGTAATTAAGTATGTATAGCTTAAAGTTGGTTTTCCATGATAAAGGTGATGCAGGTTCAAAGGTTCAATCCCTGTCAAGAGGCACATTTTCTTTAATAAGGCTTTCAATTGCCCCGAACAGTGGATGTCAATTTAAGGGTTTAAAAAAAAAACAAGGTTTTCTACTTAGTACATTGACTACATGTTTACTTGCTAAATATAATGTATATAAGACATATATCACATCTTTGAATTTATTCTAGAAAGGTTTTGGCATTCAGTCTTTTGCACTGAAAACCAGGAAGAAAGGTAATGTCAGCTTTCAGAAATTACTGACAAAATAAAGCTCTTATATGTATAATTATTATTTTCTATTGACTATTGTTCTTTTTGTACTTATAAGATATTCTAAATAAATGGTTTCATCATGCCCATTTAGTTACTTTTAAATACAATATTTTTGGCTAGTGCTCTTCCTGGCACATTTGAAGTCTTATTGTTAGGCATATAACTCTGTGTACCCTAGAGAGACAATTTTATGTTAAGAAAAAATTAAATCAATAAAGTTTTTTTTTTTTTTTTTAACTGTGATAAATATGTGATTAGAAGCAGATATTCATTCTATGGATTACTCAGTGTGTTTGTAGCCTTTTTAAGGCTGGAGAGTTTCCCAGCTGAAATGTTTTGAAAAACTGATGCAACATAAAGTTATTAAATTCTATGTTTCTGTTCTATGATTTTTATAGTTACCTTGTATTTATTTTTATTTTCTATTGGTTATTTTTTTAATGCCTTGCTCCTTCAGGATATAAGCGGGTTGCTTTTTCAGCAATGTTTAAACTTTGTGCTCACAAAAAATGGTTTGTGTCAAAAGGATGGTTATTCCTTTGACACTGCTATTACTGTAAAAAACTTTTGACATCCTCAGCAATGTTTATTGTTTTAATAAACACAAACATGAAAGTGGATTTTTTTATTTTTGAGAATTGACAATAGTTCATTGATATTTTTCTAGAATCAAAAATAAATTGTTTTCATAGTTATTTATAAAATGATAAATAATAAATATTGTATTGTAGTTGGTTTACATATTTTGATAATTTTATAATTTTTTAATAAATTTTTGAGTAAAAAGATTTCTTTTCAAATGTATTTCTTTATAAAAAGCTAAATGATAAATATTGCATTTTACTTGGTTCATATAGTTTTGTTATCTTGTAAATAAACATTGCTGAGGGAGTCAAATTATATACAGTAATAGCAGAGTCAAAAGAATAGCCATCTTTTTGGCACACTGATTTTTGTGGGCATAAAGATTAATCATTACTGTTATTTCTTTATTATCTATTAATTACCATGACATCTTGGAAAAGGGAATCCCCCCCCCTGAAGTCTAAATGCCATGTCTCTTCAGGACATAGGCAACCATGACTCTCTATAGACTTTTTTACTTTCTTTGAATGTCTTCTTGAGAAAGACAGTCAAGAGGTTCACTTTCGCCTTCTCTATTGTTTAGTATTGAAAGTTTTCCTTCTCTTAGACTGGTTGCAATCCAAGGCTAGAGATCCCATAGCTGTAAGAAAACAAGATGGATTCATGCTTTTATGATGAGCATTGATGCAAAGGCAAATTTGACTGACTAAGCTGGAATTTGAACCCAGCTCCGTTTTCATTTTCTGCACTGATATCCATTACTTTACCTGCACACCCTTTTATATTTTATTATTTAGTTGCTGCTAAATGTTGAAAACTTTTTAAATAACAAAAGAAAACTTATTTTTAAACAAAGTTTGGATTAGTATTTTCTGTAACCTTAAATTCTTAGTTGCATTTTATTGCATATTACTCAGGCTACTGATGTTGCCTGAAAGGACAGCCTCCAAGAACTTCTTGGACCTGGCCAAAATGACAAATGTGCTGGCTATGTTATATATACAGGGTGACCCCAAAAAACGGTAATTTTTGAAGTGTGTATTGCCAGACATGAGCAAGTGGCAACACTGCGAGACAGTGACCTTGAGTAAGTAAACATTTCGCCATTTAGAATTCAAGATGAAATTCACAGTATCCCAGCTGAGATGTTGCAGCAGTCAATGAGGAATCTCAACAGCAGATTTCAAGAATGCATTCGTACAGGAGGACGCCATATACAGGACGTAATTTTAAAAAAATGAAAATTCCATCATTGTTTCTTAAGGTTTCAATTACTATGAATAAAATATTTTTCTTGCATCACTCTTGGTTTTATTGGATTGTTAAAAAGTTCCCGTTTTTTGGGGTCACCCTATACCTATTTATGTATAGTTGGATACCTTGCTCAAGTGTAATGGTTAGAAAGTTAGTCTGGTAGACCTTATTATAAGCTTGGTATCTGTTAACCTATCAATTTAAACTAGATCTATGTATCTATTAATCTAAACTAAATATATATTAAACCAGCCTCAACTTGGCATCTCTTTTAATCTAAATTTGCTCTCCTTTAATCTGAGCTTGGTATCTATTAATGTAAGCATGGTATCTGCTAATCTAATTTTGTATTTTTGAATCTAAGCTTGGTATCTGTTAATCTACTAATCTAATAGTGGTATCTTTTAATATACTAATCTAACTTGGTATTAATCTTGAAACTTGGCTTCTTTTAATTTAAGCTTGGTATCTTTTAATTTATTAATCTAAACTTGGTATCTATTAACCTAAACTTAACATCTTTTACTCTAAACTTGGTGTAACACCTTTTGCCACTGCCTACATCTGGTGGTGTAACCATGCTTAGTTGTCCGGTCCTCAAGGTCTTAGGACTATGCTTTAACCATGAGCCAATTCTGCGCTGGTCATTGCTGACGCTGGTCCAAGCTGGTTGTTGGTTGCTTCGATCACACTGTCTCTGCCCATGTTGTGTTCTTGATTTCAGAGCAGTAGAAGATCGAAGGTTGTAGTCTTGCAGCACTGGTCAAGCCATGTTGGGTGCAATATTAAGAAAAAAATATCTTCACGATGAAAAATAAAATGAGAGATTCTTGGGGTTAATCTTCAATTGGTTTATATAGCTCTTGTTACAACAAAATTAACCCTTCCCACATCAATCTCTCTAGTGACACTGGGCCTTGTCTAAACTTCTGGAAGGCTGGGTTCAAAGTCTTGGACTCAGGAATTCTGGTGGCAGCTGGCATGGATTTCAGAGGCACTGAATGCAGCTTCTCAGTCCAAAGTAAATGATCTCAGTTTTGTAAAGGTATACATAAGAAAGAGAGAAAGAATTGGTTGCAAGGACCAACCCCTACAGTAGTTTAGGAAATGTTTTTATTGTTATTTGGTAGTGTGGATTAAATTGGTTGATTTTATATAATGTCAAACTTTGTTGGTTTATTTAATATCAAAATCAGTCTTTTTTTCTTTTTTTGCACTTCATTCAGTGATAAATAAATGGTTGTTTATATTTAATTTTATGAACATTTTTTTGGTTTATGATTATGATATTAATTGCTTATATATTTAAATCTATAACCATTAAATTGGTTTCAGGATAAGTAAATATTTGTCATTTATATTTGATCCTGTAGATGGCCCCTATTGGTGTAGGTCTTACCCCTTTTCAGGTGATGCAGTTGGTATAGGCCCCACAAACAAAGCAGTCCACTTCTCACCTGTGGAACTCTCTACTGGTTTCTTGCTTCTCTGCCATCTACCATAACACCAGTCACTATCTTCTGTCTTCCCGAATCCTGTTCTTTTATTGTCCTTTCTCCTCACTAAAGTTTTCACATTCTCTTTCACTCCCAATAACCCCTTGCATCTTAGATGGGTGAAATGATTTAAAAAAATATTTTATAATATTTGATATGCACTTTCATAGTCAAAATTTACATTATCTCATTTTATTAATAAATTCAAATTTATTGCGTGGAAAAAAATAATTTAAAAAATACAAAGAAATTACTGTATTTGATGGCATATTTTCAGCAGGGCAAATCAAGGAAAAATTAGTAATTAGTAAAATTAGTAAACCTACATATGGGATATAAAATGCAAGTGAATTTAAAAGATATTTTTAGTAAAAAAAAAAGTTCGCCTTATATGCTATCAAATACAGTAAATTAAGAAAATTAAAATTGAAACAAATATTAAATTCAAAATATGATAGTGTTGTTAATAAAATAATATTATGGTGAAATAACATCTGACCCACCCTGTAATACACCCTTCATGTATATACGACTAG